AATAAATAAATATTCCTGGAGTTATCGAATGCCCATGCTTGGGAAGAAATTATTTTTTTTGTGATTAAACAAATATTGAGACAGTAAAATTTATCAGCCAAAACTGCATTACATAATGCCAGAGTTTGATTGACACAAACTCGACATGCACAGTCCAGCACATGGTTTCCAACTCAGAGATACTCTCTCTCTCTCTTCAGTTCAAACGTTGCACTTGAAAACACAGAGTGAAATATTAGGAACTTAAAACAATTAAACAAACAGAAAAATTACAAAAAACACTTTACAAATTAATTTGTAATATGTACAATAAAACAGTACTTTTTAATTTACAATTAATGATTACTTTGTATTCTACACTTCCACACTAGCGGCGGGCAAGCCATCTCAAAACTCAGAATAAACTGCTTCCTGCATAGTGCAGCCATCTATTGGCATTTTCCCGTTTGTTAATATTAATGTGCCAACAAAATAAATGAATGAATGAATAAAAACATAATATACAACAATCCGTAACAATAATTGTAGACCATTACAATTAGCTGGCGTTTAGAAATCATACAGAGAATCAAAACAAAACATTAGGAAACAGACAGAAAAAAATCTTTTGTTGCTGCAGTGTGCCTACAAACATTTTACACCCTTTCGAGAGTTATTTACAATAAAAGGCTCGTGTGTTGAAAGAAGCAATGTGTATACGCGCGCTGTAGTGGGAAAGATCTGGCAAATGTGAATAGGAATTCTCTCAAACTTACATGAAATGAGACAAAAATGTTACTGCAAATGAAATTTGAGTGATATTTCGAGGCCGATCTTCCTTCAATCAGTCAGACAGAATGAGTAAGTTGTTAACAGTACGGGAAAAAAATGTGGATTTTATGGGATTTCTGTAAATACGAAAAAAAAACTTCGTATTTACAGAAACCAGAACTTGACACTGAAAAGAACGAGGGTTAAACCCGAGGCTCCAGAATGTTCCCATTCCGAGGAAAAGAACGAGGGGCCCGAGCAATATCAAGTTAAAAAAAAGGCAGGTCGCCGCACACTCGTACAAAGGTATGATGTTGTTAGACCTTCGGTTTTCTGAAATTTGAAGGGGCCATTTTAAAAGGACGTTTTCCTGAGGATGCAGTGGGTGAGTGAAGTTTCTGCTTTTTGGATATATTGTGGGCCGTATCCTGCAAGTAGTGCCATAGCAGGCCAACCCGTGGCGAGGGCGGAATAAATTCCTAACCACAAGCCTATCTGCAAAAATTAGTTTAATATCTTGACGTCATGTCGACGTCGTATCAGATATTAAGCTGATAAGAACAGAAAAGTTTTTTATTGATAATGCTTATTGCCATTTTACATCATATTGGTATAACCATGGCATGAGATACCAATAACGCACGCAGTGCGATTTAAGTTTCATTACTTGAGGGAAAATATTGGATGCAAAAAATATTTACAGAACTATATACATAAAACCGGGAATATTCATCTCAACATAGCAAGAGGTAGGGCAAGAGTCCAGCGGTAGGTGATAAGTCCTTTTAAAGTCAAGACCACAGAGGCGGGGATGGAATCTATTACATCTGGCGAATCCCAGTGAGATGTTCAACGTAGATATTTCTTGAGTAGCGGATAGTTTCGCTTACAACAAGTTCTTCAGTCTTCGGAGCAGACTTGTCGTTCTCTTTATCCCATGCGCCGAGAGAGCCAACAATGAACGCGTAGGAACGAACATCAGCGAAATCTCGCTTCAGCAGGTCGACTACGGGGCGGTACTTGTGATCTTATCTTCTCGTGCAGAAGAAAAAGCAGACAGCCTGTTCTCGAAGGAGATGGTAACGTCAATTACAATCGCGGAGCGGTCTTTGCAGAGGACGAGATCCGGTCGAAGATTGGTGCCCGGGAAAACCTGATTGGCGGAGAGAAGGTTCCAGCGACTGCCAGCAGCTTTGTGCACACGGTCCACCACTGCATTATGTCGAGACTGATATGCAGCAGAATAACGCATGCAGTGATTCAGCACATGAGGAAGCGTTTCTTCCGTAGACGAGCAGCGGCGGCATCCTCGACGAGAGCGGTCCCAAGGCTTGGCGGCGTTGAGAGGAACCAAGTTGAGGCGAGCACGATGCACGAATCTCCACTCAGCGAACCTGGTAAACAACCCATTGCTCAGGAAGTGGGAGCTCGCGCGAGAGGCGGCAACACATTCCATCACCTTACCCTGGTTGGGGAGGAGAATAAGGTCATCAAGACGCTCACTCCTTTTCAGGGTGCGGAAGGAACGAAAAATGGTATGCCTCTTGCTGGGAAAGATGGTGAAGGAGCCACACGTGATGGAGGGTGAACCGTCCGCGTCGAAGGACCAGGAGACCTTGAGACGTCTAGAAGCCGACCTTGCGGCCGACCACATCGAGGAGATGGGGTTCGTGGAGGAAGCAAAGGGAGCATCATCGGAGGCCGAGAGGAAGAGACCTACAAGAGAATGAGACGGCGTCTCGCCAATGCGAGCATGGACGTAGGTACAAAGGTCCTCCCAGCCAAGACCACGAACGTAGGAGTCCTTGGAACAAAGGAGCTTGAAGGCGCCATCCACTGCAGCGATGTCAGAATCTTCTGCGGAAAGAGGGATTCCGAGGGCACCCTTACCAGACAAGCCATAGATGTAATTATTGGACGCCTCGGGAGGAAGGTTGAGTGTCTTCTTGATGGCAGGCCGCAGGAAGTCATCGATCTTTTTCCAGTCTCCCTTGCTAAGCAGTCCAGTCCTCATATGGAAATGGAGAGAAGGAAAGAAGAAGCACTTGAGGGCGTCCAGACGCTGCCACGGAGCAAGCTTCGACTCCATGATCTTTTCAGCGAGCAGAAGGAAGTCACGCAACTGAGCCCGGCAGGGAGGAAGGTGAAACCCGATGGGCTTCCGAAGGAAGCGGAAAAATTCGCCATCGTCGAGAGCCTTGAGAGGGGAGCCTTTGATGCAAAACAGAGTGGAACGGGATCCAGCAGGACGAGCGGCGGAGAAGTGAAGCGAGTGACACTTGCTGGGATTCAAGTGCAGACCAAGACGAGAGAAGGAGTCAGAAATGGAGTCCAAGTCATGTTGGAGAATATCAGGAGAAGGAGCCAACAGCAGGACATCATCGGCAAAGGCGAGGATGCGTGGAGAAGCAGGAGGAGAAACGATGGACCGGAGCACGGGATCGATGGCAAGATTGAACAGCAGGCCGCTCAAAGGGCAACCTTGACGAACGCCAGCACAGATGTTTACGGGACCAGAGACACCGTCCGAGGAGAGAAAGCAGGTAGAAGACTCCCGGTAGAGATCTTGAACCAAGGAGAGAAAGTCCTCACCAACTCCGGACGTGCGAATAGCAGTGAAGAGGGCGACATGTGGAATGGAGCCAAACGCATTGGCGATATCCAGGGACGCGAGGCACAATGTAGACTTCCGGCGGCGAGCGAGCTGAAGTTGCTGCTGAACGATGAAGTGATGTTCGAGGATACCATCATGCGGCATGAACCCCTTTTGGGAGGAACAGAGCACATCGTTGTCGCAGAGCCATGCAGTCAGACGTTTGGCGAGGCAGCCAGAGAAGAGACGTGCTATGGAAGAACTGAGAGCGATCGGTCGCCAGTTGTGAAGGATGGAAGGATCACCTCGCTTGAAAATCAGGAAAGACCTCGAAGACTTCCACGACGAGGGAATCCGCTTGAAGCGCAGACAGATGTTGAAGATGTCACATAGAATTCTGCACTCAGGATCGAGCTCCTGCCAGTGGGAGTAGAAGAGACGATCAGGACCCGGAGCAGAAATTTCGCATGACCTGAGTCTGGCCTGGATCTCAGCGGGAGAAAACGGTGACAGGTCAAGGGGAGGACGATCAGGGAGGCAGGAAGGGAAGATGGAGACGTCTGCATCTCTCGAGGCGAGCCTTTTAGAGAACTCCGCGGCGATGTCTTCGGCAGAAATGCGACACGAAGGAGAGCATTCAGAAGTGAGGAGACGCATGGCCCTTCGGCGGTTCCTTCGGTACAAACCTTGGATGACACGCGGATTAAGGATGTTAACAGGACGTGGAGGACCAGCAGGCGGAGGACCCGGAGGAGGGAGCTTGGCATACTCGGCGGCAGACTGGATGACCAGGTGAAGACAGGACTCAAAGGAGCACCAAGAAGAGTCGTCGGTGGGTCCGGAAGCAAAGCACTGAAGAGAGTCCCTGTGCAGGAGAAGAGGAGGATCGGAGGAGACATCGTCAACAGAAGGAAGGCGGAACAACTCGTCAGAGGGCAGAGTGGAGGCATCAAGCGCAGAAGCATCATCAGGAAGGACCGGAGGATCGGTAACAGCACTGCTCGGAACGTCCAACGGCGACAGCGGAAGGGAGGGCTGAGAAGAGGAGGAAGAATCCAACGGAGAAGCAGTGGACCTTGAAGGGGAAGCAGGAACATCCGGAAGAGGTGAAGCAGTAGGCGTGGAGACCAGCGGAGACTCGGTAGGATTCACAGCGTGTGTCGGTGAAGGAGGCGAAGGAGCGACAGCAGGAGCAGGAACGTGGGAGCGAACTGTAGCAGCAGCAGTGGGCGAGGAGTCTGGCGGCGCAGGTCAACGTCGTCTTCGTCTCTGAGCAACAGGCAATGGAAGAGGAATGTTGTTGGCAGCAGCGTTCCGTGAAGCACGTTGGTGGAAAGCCGAGTGATTGAAAAGACCTTTCCTGGAAGGGCAGGAGAAAGGGCACACGGAGCATTTCCAACGGAAGGAGGCGCCGGAAGAGGAAACAGGAGGAGTGGTGCGAAAGCAGGAGTGGGAAGAAACCCTGTTGGCGAGAACAGAGCTGCAGAGACCACACCACTTCATGCACGAGGAGATCTGTATGAGGTGTTCTTGCAGGATGTGCCTGGTAAGGGATTTCTTCATGCGAGACCAGGAGCCGGAACGGAAGAGGAGGCTGCAGTTGGGCTCGGTGCACATGAACACGTCACTTACAGGAAAAACCAAGTGAAGAGTGTTGTCAACCCGACAAGTCGAAGAGGGGCCCAGCGGGCCAGGAGGAGGGCCGGAAGGAGCACTGGGACTGTAAGGCGATGCAGGAAGAGTCGGAGAAGAAACCGGAAGGCGAAGGACCAGGAGTGACGAAAGCATCGGCACCGGGAGACGCAGAGAGAGATGAACGACGATGTCGGCGGTAACGATGGAAGCGAAGATGTCTTTTGCTGAGACACACCTTACCACATGAAGAGCATCGAGGGCCTCCAGGGGTGGGAGTCGTCGTCGCAGGGACAGGAGCGTGAAGAACAGCCGAAGAGGGAGCAGCAGCGAAGGAAGAGCCAGTAGTACTGGAGGTGACAAGAGGAGCTTCAGCAGGGCACGGCTGAGGAGAACCGGAAGGAGAGCAGGGCGCATCAGGAACAGCGGCTTCAGGAAAAGCAGCAAACCCATCAGATGTAACAGCGGGCTCCCGAGCACCGGCGGCAGAAGGCGACACAGGAGAGGAAGCAGCCTGAGCAGGATGTACGGAAGAAGGCATCAGGGAAGGCGGAGGTAAGAATGAATGTCCAGCAGCAGCACGAGAACGAGTGTGGTGACACACTGGAGATTCAGAAGCAGAGACGGCAGTGACATCCGGAGGCGGCACTACAGGATCGGGAGCGGCAGTCACAGAAGACAGTCTGGCAGAAGGCGGAGAGGATCCAGGGCTGGAGCGGATGACATCACCGGAAATGCGAGAGGTAGAAGAGGTCCTTGCACGAAGAACTGTAAGCATCTGGCAGAGTGGAGCACCTCTGAGCAAGGGAGGGCCAGAGGGAACCGGAGAAGCGGCCACATGGAGCCGGCGAGCAGATGGCAGTGAAGACGCCGGGGTGGGCGTGGCGACTGAAGCGAGAAGACATGGAGGTGAAGGCAGGAACCCTTGACTCTCAACGAGCAGATCCAGAGGTTGACATTCGTCAGCATGGGGCCCAGAATGAGCCGGCGGCATCCGTGGAAGACCAGGCGTAGTCGGCGAGGGAATCCTAGGAGGGCGAGGCATCACTGGCAGGCGAGGCGTCGAGGACGCGTCAGCAGCAGGCTGGAGAGACATCTGTAAGAACAGCAAAGAAAACCAAAACGGAAGGCAGCAAGATGCACGAAAAAACTCGGTGGCAAGATCAAAGTGAGGCAGTGGGAGGAGCTTCAATTGGAGCTTTGGTGGACCTAAAAAAAAAAAGAAATAGGAAGATAAGAACGAGGAAAAGAAAAAAAAGAAAGAAAGAGGAAGATAAGAACGAGGAAAAGAACAAGGAGAGAAAGAGCAAACAGAGAGGAAGGACAACAAGGGAAAGAGGAAAAGGAAAGGAAAGAAAGTAGAAAGAGAGAAAAGTAGAAGCCACGCCCACCCGGAAGAGTGAGGCAGCGGAAAGGAAACTTCAGAGCTTATCAAAACAGGAAAGACACCGTAAACGGAGTATTTCTGTATGAGATAGTGAGTGATTATGGCGCAAAACCAGAGATGATTATGACGCGCCAAACAAAAGATGAGATGATTACAATTGATGACATTAAAATTCAATAAATAAAAACAAGTAGATAAATGTACCAAATCCAGAGGATGAAGTCATATAAAAACAAGTTAAAAGCACATATTAAAATTCAAGACACAGTCTTCAAAACAAATTACATTTGGTAATAAAAGCCAATCTCTTTTAAATAATAAAATAAATTAGAATTGACCTCTCTTCCGATTAAACGGTCGAGAGGTAAGTCACAGCTATTAAAATATTTCTGGCGAAGACTATTAAAACATGGACACTCAATTAAAATATGACGAACAGATAAACAAACATTACAATTAAAACAAACAGGCTCATTTTCAGCTTTTTTTAAGAAGGTAGTTATGTGTGTCACTCTAGTGTGACCAATTCTGAGGCGAGTCAAAAGAACTTCCTCCTTACGATTTTTGGTTAATTCCCAATGCTCAATTCTAGGTTTACATGTCTTAACTTGTTTTGAAGCTGAACATCCCAAAAGTTGCTGCCATTTTTTTCGGATCTTTGTTTCATGACACACACAGATGTCTCTAAAAGGGATGAGGCGACTGGACAGTTCAACAGCAGATTTTGCTGCGATATCTGCCAGCTCATTCCCTTTTATTCCCACGTATGCCCGGGAACCCAGCAGTACAGGATTTCATATCCCACGATTCATTAAATTTATATGAATTTTGAGAACATCCACTACCACAGGATTCTGAGTGTTAGGAAAAGCTTCAAGGATTTAAGAGCACTATACGAGTCTGTATAAACTATGAACTTTTTGTGGCAGAGCCTTGAGATGTACAAAAGAGCATAATATATTGCAGTTAGTTCAGATGTTAGGACAGAGAAAGCATGGTGCAAGCGTCTGCCCTCCATGTGGTTTTCAAATTACAAATGCCATCCCGACATGATCATTTGACTTGATCCATCTGTATATACGGAAGATAACTGCTATATTTGTGCCTGTGCTCAGCGAAAGAGTTGTCTGTAAATACGATCTCGTTAGTGCTTGCCTTTCACGTGATGTTTAAAAACATCAAGAAGCTGGAATCCGTGCATTTTCCCAAGGTGGAATTTCAAAATTCTGTACTGCTTGGGGGTGCATATCAGAGAGGGAAAGTTCCTCAATGACAGGGCGAACTCTTAAAGGGAAAGTAGGAACACAGGATGGACGTGTTTCAAATAATGTGTTACTCACATTCATCAAGTAAGCACAGCTTATTGGGATGTTCAGGTTGAGATAGAGTATTAAAATATTGCAAAAGGGACAATTGCTCACGCCTCAGATAAAGTGATGGTTCGTTACAGTCAACATATAGGCTCTGCACAGGAGAAGTCCTGAAAGCTCCTGAACAAATCCGCAGACCTTGATGGTGAACAGGATCCAGTTTTAACAAAACAGATGACCGAGCGGATCCATAAACAACTGAGCCATAGTCCAGTTTAGAGCGGATAAGCGCTCTGTAAATGCGAAGCATGGAGCAACGCTCTGCACCCCAGGAGGTGTTCGCCAACACTTTTAAAATATTTAGTGTTTTTGAGACACTTCTTTCTCAGGTTTAAAACATGAGAAAGGAAAGTCAATTTTCGGTCGAACGTCACTCCTAAAAATTTTACTTCAGGCGCAACTGGAATAATTGTACCATTTAGATATAACTCAGGTTCAGGATGGAGACCTCGCTTCCTACAAAAGTGCACGCACACAGTTTTCTGTTTCGAAAAAGTAAATCCCTGTTTGTCTGACCATTCTTGGATCTTATTCAGAGCCATCTGCAATTGCCTCTCTATGTATCTCATGTCTGCTCCTCGACAGGTAATCTGCAGATTATCAACATATAGAAATCCCAAGATGGTTTGAGGAAGTTCTTTTAGTACAGAATTTATTTTTAAACTGAAACAGGGTTACACTGAGCACACAGCCTTGAGGCACACCCTCTTCCTGTTCAAAAACATCCGAAAAAACAGAGCCAATTCTTACTTGAAAAGTTCTAGTGTTCAAGAAATTCTGAATGAAAATTGGTAGGTTGCCGCGCAAGCCACTCTCGTGAAGATCCCGGAGTATACCGTATCTCCATGCCTTATCATAAGCTTTCTCAATGTCGAAGAATATCGAGACAAGGTGGACTTCTTCTTACAAATGCTTTTCGAATAGATGTCTCTAAGAGGAGCATATTATCTACGGTTGTTCTTCCCCTTTCGAAAACCACTCTGATAAGGCGATATAATATTATTCTTTTCCAAGAAGTAGACTAGGCGGCTGTTTACCATCTTTTCAAACAGTTTGCAAACAAACTGGTAAGGGCAATTGGCCGATAGTTCGAGGGATTCCTCGGGTCTTTCCCTGGCTTCGCAATAGGAATGACAACAGCTCTCCTCCATGCACTGGGAAATGTACGCTCCTTCCACACTCTATTGTAAAGTGTGAGAAGGGCACTCAGTGACTTACAGGACAGATGCTTTAGCATTTCATAATACACGCCATCCAGACCCGGACAAGACCTATGTGTCTGCAACAAAGCTCTCTTTAATTCAACCATAGTAAAGTCTCTATTGTAACGGCTCAAAGTTGGAAGAGTTGAAAGCGATGGGATTTTTCTCAGAGCGTTGCTTGATAGAAAGAAATGCAGGTGAGTAATTTCGGCTGGAAGAAACGGCAGCAAATGTCTCACCAATTGTATTTGCAATTTCTTCTATGGAGCTAATCACTCGGCCATCTTTTTCCAGAAAGGAAAGTGAGTGGTCTTTATACATTCCGCATGCTTTTCGAACTCTTTCCCAAACCCGCTTACTAGGCGTAGAGGATGTTATTGAGGACACATATGAAATCCAGGAATCCCTCTGGCTCTGCCTTCTTACTTTCCGTGCATTTGCTTTGGCTCTTTTAAAAGCTATGAGGTTTCGCAGAGTAGGATATCTACGAAAAATACCCCATGCTTTTTTCTGTTTTTTCAGTGCTTCATGACAGTCGCGATTCCACCATGGTTTTCGAATATTTTAGTAGTTTTTCCTGATGTTCTAGGAATCGAAAGCATAGCTGCCTGAATAATAGTATTAGTAACAGCTTCAACAGCGTCATCGATATGCACATCTTCTACCATTTCCTCTGTGAGCTCTGCAACGGAAGAGAAGAGTTCCCAGTCTGCCCTGTCCAGGTATAAAACGAGGGGACTCTCGACATGGGGTTTGCTCCTCTTCGTGCAAGAGACACAAAAATAGGATAATGATCGCTGTTGTACAGGTCATTTCCGACACTAAAAGTGCAAAAATGGCAACAGAGATGGTGAACAGATGGCAAGATCGAGAGCGTGGAATGTCCTTGAAGGCTCATGGAAGTACGTATCTTGCCCATTATTTAGGAGACAAAGGCTATGATCTTCGATCATCTGCTCAATTTGTCTTCCTCGGCAATTTGTATCTTTACTACCCCAGAGTGGACTATGGCCGTTAAAATCTCCTATTATGATAAAAGGCTCAGGCAGCTGCTCTATTAGATTATTTAAATCTTGCTGATAAATGTGCTCATTTGGAGGCAAATACAAAGAAAAACAAATGAAACAACAATATCAAAATTTATTTGAGTAGCGACAACTTGGAGGGATGTCGTCAAAGGAAGTACATTTGAGGGATAATCCAGTGAGGAGAGGAGACCTACACCTCCACTGGCACGCTCACCTGCAATGTTATCCTTCCTGACGAAAGAAAACCTCCGAAGTTTTGCATGGTGTTCTGGTTTCAAGATTTGTTTCCTGTATTGCGAAGCACACAGGATGATACACATTATTTATAGATTTGATGTCAAGCAAATTTCGGTGGAAACCGCGACAGTTCCATGACATGAGGGTGGCCATTATGAATGGTTTTTGTTTTTCTGTGCTTGTTCTTTGTTTTTCGTGGAAGTAGATGCCTGGGAACTTCTAGACCCTCTTCTACTTCCATAAAGTCTGAATCCGCAGATTCAGAAATCATCTCATCAAAAGAGCTATTGCTGTGACTTCTATTTTTATTGGATATTTTTGTGTAGAAGTTTTGGGCTTACTTTGAATAACTGTTTCTTTCTTTTGTACTATATGGTTGCATTTTCTTTTTCTTGTTGGATGTAGACGGTTGGGTTTTATTTGCTAGGGTCTGTGTGCCTATTGATGTTTGGGTGGCGACTGTACGAGATGATTTTAACAGCACTGGCGTATGATGTATTTGGTCGAAGCTGTGTGCTCTGGACTATCTTCTGGCTTCGGCATATAAGAGATGTTCCTCGTAACTTTTGCAGTCTGTACTTCTTTTTCGGATTTCCATTTTGGGCAGAGGCGTGAAAATGCTGGGTGCTCACCCTTGCAATTTATACAAAGAGGCGCAGCGGTACAATTTTCAGAATCGTGGCCAATCTGTGAGCATCGGGCGCATGTGAGGTTGCCACGACAAGACGTCTTAGAATGGCCGAAACGCTGGCATTGGAAACATCGCATAGGGTTTGGAATATAAGGTCTTACAGGAATATTTAGATATCCGGCCTTAATATTCTTAGGCAGATCAGGCGTGTTGAAGGTAAGGATCACGTGTTTCGTGTCTA